AGAATGTTTTCAGGAAGGAGCTGAGAGAAGCCTGGGAAGCGAAGGAGGGGGATGCTGGCAGGCTGTAAACTGATGCTTTTCTGTACATATTGTCTCCTTCAGATCTATATATGCTGAGCTCTCAGCTATTCCAAAAACAAACCAAGAAGAGCTAGAGATAGCATATGATGGCTTCAAGGTATATTTTCATTTCCTGGGCTGGCTGGAGACAGTCACAACAGCTCCTGGCATAATTTTATCAAATTTCATAGTATCAGTATCGTTGAAGGAGAGATGCTACAAACAGCCACAATTCCTACATAACCTGTGCATATCCTGAGGATTTCCATCCTGGGCACCAAGCAAGGCAGGGTCCTGAGACAAAAATAGGATTTGCTAATGTAATTACAGACCAAATCACCGTGCATCTGCTCTGCTGTGACTGAGGTTGCCTGAGCTAAAATATGATTGTACAATATAAATTGTGGCATTACCTAATTGAGGAAGGCTTGATTTTCTAATCTGAAAATTGTCTCCTTATAAACTCCAGGTCATTCTTCATAGCAAGCAGGTATTCAGCTAGAAGTGATGTGGATTTCCTGGGTATGAAGAGCACAGCTGCTTTCAGCTGCCCTCTTTGTTTTCAAGGAGGAAACAAAAATAAGGAGCAAAGCAAAGGACACATTTACAAAGGTAATACCTGACTTGCAATTGGTACAATGGTTTGGGAACCATCCTGACCTGTTAGTCCATTGCTTCAGCTAATTTTGCTTTGTTTTTTTTGTATTGATAAAAATAAACGCAAGAATTATCAGAAAACTGGCCACTTATAAAGTATACACTGTAGGATTAATTATTTCACTGTAATATACAGCAAATAGATAACAGTTCATCTGCTTTCCTTGCTTTTCAAATAAAAAAAAATTCAGGGGACAGGCTAAGAATAAGCTGTCACACATCTAATTTTATTGAGTTTCATGCAGCAGAATTAAAAAATTTTTTTTTTTAAAAACTTTTTTAAGTTTTGCAATAAAAATTATTGCAAATTTGAAAATCAGAGATGTCACTTAGAGTTTCTGTAGTGTATATTTTTGCTTCATTTCAGAGTTCCAGAAAGTTTAAATGTACCTTTGTGTGACAACACTTCATCTTTAAATGCTTTAGTTTTTCATTACTGCAATGAGGTCTTACATTACGTTTAGTGCACCAATAAGGAATTTCCACTTCTCTCTGCAAGGCAGAGAAAAAGAGTGTACAAAGGACTGCAAAGTAGTACAAAAGAGTGGAAAATCACATGTATTGAAACTGTACAGATATTTATCGTCTTCACTTAAAATTTTTTGCTACTTCATTTTTAAACAGGGCAAAACCTGTTTCCACTGCCCTCACAGATGTTTTTTTCCTCTATTTTGGGGAAGGGTTTTTTTTGTTGTTGTTTTGGTTTGGTTTTTTTTTTTGTTTTTGTTTTTGTTTTTGGTTTTGGTTTTGTTTTGTTTTGTTTTTTTTGTTTTGTTTTGTTTTGGTTTTTGGGGGTTTTTTTGTTTTGTTTTGGGTTTTGTTTGTTTGTTTGTTTTGTTTTTTTAATACAGTGATAGGCAGGCTACAGAAATATCTGTGCTTGTCTGACAGTGAATCCTTGGTCTGCCACTAAAATCCAGCATGTGCTGCTCTGGGGGACTGGGGACAGCACATCATTGTGGGCCTGGTATAGAGAGGCAGAGAAATTGCAGCAAGTTCATAAGGATATCTTCTGAATTTTAAAGTAATTTTGGTGGGTACTAGTACACCAGTCTGTGGGTCCCCTCCAAGCCAAAGTGTTCTGTGATTCCATGCACTGCAGAGTTTGTGCTGTGTGGAGAGACGTGCTGTGCAAACCACAGCTGCCAGAAACAGCTCACCCTCCTGAGGAGCTCATACAGGAACATCTTCCCTTGGTCACACCCAGAAGTGTGAAACATGCAAACTCCATGTCCACTGAGCAGCTAGACCTTGCTAGGCTTCTTTTTCAGTTGGGTTTGTTGGGGGTTTTTAATGGCTGATAAACTAACCCAGAGCAGTTCTCTGCCTGATGTCCTTGTTTCATGGCTACATTTGCATCTTCTTCAAGGAAAATAGCAAATTCAATTAGCAGCCTTAGAGTATATTCCCTCCATGGGTTAAACCTGACAGAGGAAGAGCTTGCTGTGCTTTCCATCAGCAGTGGGCCTAGCTTGCAGTGTCTTGTTTTCTTGTTCTTGAGTGAGTATTTTTAAATGCAGGGAAGAGCTGTGGCACCTGCTGGTGTGTGCAAGCAGAGCTGACAGGCTGTGTGTGCCTGTGACAGAGGGGGCACCCTGAGGGCTGGGGACACTGGGCACATCTTCAGAGCCCTGCTTTCTTTAAGCACAGCTACAGTGCACTTTTCCTGCTTTAGGATCTGGCTGCATGGGAATAAAAAGATCAGTCAGACAGACAGCAAGAAGAAAGGGCCATTACTTTAAAAAATGTAGCTGGAAATGTGAGCTGTGCCTGGATGTGCAAGTGATACAGAATCCTTTCACTGTGTTCATGCTTTCATAAGAACTATTAAAAAAATACCAATTTAACCCAAGAGAATTTATATTCTGTTGCTAACAGCATGAAAGGCAAAGAAGGGAATACAAACATGCCACACAATTTCTCTAATACTATGTGTGTGTTTTATCCTTTTGCTCTAATTAAAGGAAAGGCTAGAGCAGATGCAAGAGCTAAAGAGAAGTGGCTCTCATTAAGGCTGGTCTGGCACTCTGTGGTCTGAGTGTAGGTGTAGAGCTGCTCGTTAGCAGTGTTCAAAGCTGAGTCTGCCTAAACCTGGCTGAGGAGGCTCAGTTTCATGTCCTTGGTTGTATAGGTCATTCCCAGGGGAATCCAGCCCTGTCAGAAGAAATCAGTTACTAAAATTCATGACCTACATACAGACTTCTGGTCTTTGGATATTGGCTATTCATAAGTTCAGAAATGAAATTAAAAGAAAATATATATGGCTACATATGAAGTCTTCCACAATATGTCTATGAATTAGAGTTTATGTAATTTGCTAAGTGAAACAGATACAAAACTTGGACCACTGAGGTAGCCATGACTTGTGCTGTTAATCTCAGCAATAGGTCATTAAAATACATTTGTCATTAAAAGATGTTTGTCACTGAAGACAAATGCAGCCAAGCCCTTCTTGAGGGCAGTGAAGAACAGGTGCTGCTGTATTACTTGGGTTTCACCACCAGCATGCTTCTCTCTGGCCATGTCGTTCAGTGGCATTCACAAACTGAGTTTAACTGCCTCAAGGATTAATGAGCAGAGTCAGAATATTCTGCCACACAGCAGGGAGCAGCTGGGCTGGAAAGCTGTGTGAATATCCCTGGAAAAGTGGTCATTAGGTCTGCTGCAGCTGGAGGAATGAGAGGGTCTGTGACTGTGGCTCTCCATGGCTTAGAAAAGATGGAAACTGGGGATATTGTCACCTGCCAGCTCTGCCAGGACCTTGGGCCAACCTCCTGGAGGCTGTGCCAGGGAGAGGCTGGGAGAGCTCCTGGGCAGCTCCAGGCAGGGTGTGAGGATGAGATCTAGCCCAGGAGAACAGTGCACAGTGTGAGCACCAGTTCTGTTCCCTTTTCAACAAGCAAGCTCTCCTGTGTTAAATCCCTTCCTCGAACACCTGCCAGGCAATACAGAGTAAAGAGTGTGAGCATGGGGGAAATGAAAAGAACAGACTGGATATCAGAACAAACAGAACAATTGCTCTCATTCACTGGGCAGTTATTTCAGCGCTTTGTTTGATATAGAAAATGTCAGGAGAAGTGCAGGGTTCAATGATGAGGCTTCTTCCAGATTAAATTTATGTACAAACCAATAACCAAGTAGTGACTTGACTACCAGGAGCAGGAGTGACAAAACCTTTCCTGCTCACTTTATTTGTACCACAAAGGCATTACTAAAGGTCAGTGCCACTATAACCAGTCCTTATTCCAAAGGAGTCTAAGCAGTGATTCTGGGCAGAAGTCTTCTGGGATAACACTCAAAGGCAGATGTCTGGGCTGTTTGCAGAGGGGTGAGGCTTCCAGCTTCTGGCAATGCAAGTCAGGGCACTAAAATTAACCTGCAGTGTAAGGGTCAAAGCACCATTCCCTGTACTTGAACAGGAGCAGAAAGCCAGTGAGCTTTTCAGGCTACTGAAGCTTCATTAATGCCAAAGGTCTGAGCTCAGCAGGTTTTAGAGCTACTGAAGTTCTTGGCCTGTCAGCAAAGGCATTTGTTTCTGACCTCAGATACTCACAGACTGAGGGCACTTCAAAATAATGCACTTCTTAGGAGTAAGTTCTGATCTTCTAAATTTGATGATTTAGGAATATTAACCCCGTTGCCTTCACCATCAGAATTGGATTAATATTCACAAACCTTCAGTGAGGCTCCTATGCCTGACCTTTTTGGCAATTATGAAAATCCCTCTTGGAATATTGCTATTTAATTTGATATATCAGAAAGTGTTTTGTGTTCATAACTTAATGGCTTCCATTCAACAAATGTCAAATCTTGGCTGCTATTAGTGCAGAACACAGTGTGCTCTCTTGTGACAGGAGCTGTCTAAGACCACTAATGAAGAAGGAATAAAGCCTGAACTAGGTTAGACTGTGGAAGCTTCAAATCCCTTACCTGTTGATATTTTGTTCAGACAAATATCCTTTCCACAAAGGACTGAAATCAGGTAGGAAAAGATGCTGCATAGACAAGTACTTTGCTAAAGTTTCCTTTTGTAAGTAAGAGATCCGTTTTATGTATTCTGCAAATCGTGCTGAATAAAAAAAGGTGTTGAATAAAAAAGCAGCAATTTCCTTTGCAACTACAAAAATCATTTCCCAGCGGCATTTTGTAAGTGCTCACCTAACTGGGATGCTCTTTATCTTTCTCCCTTTTAAAATGTCAAGCAGATAAAAGTCTTCTAAATACCATTCTTTCCTATTTTGATTAATTTTGCATAGTGTTTTCCCAGAAGGATTGGTACTTACATAAACCTGAGTTCTGATTCTCTTCTGACTAAGACTTCCCGAAGTCTCTGGATCTTTGCCATCTCAAGCTCAATTTCCTCAGGCATCATTGTTGTTTCAGCCATTGAAATGATGTCAAGTTGATCTGTGTGTGGAAGCAGAGAAAATGAATTAAGCCAGTCAGACTGTCTTAATGGTGTTTTTCAGGAATGTAAATTAAATCACGGAGCTACCTAACTATGGAGTAATTAATTCAAGCAGTAAAAAATACTCTAGCTGAATGCTGTGCTGACTGGTTTCTCTATTGTTTTGCTTATTACTTGCAATGTAACAGTTTAGAAGTGAAATACTCCCTAAGCCAAAGTGACAATCATTTTGTTAGTCAGGCTCAGTCATCCCTCTGAGGAATCCCCACCCCATCCTCAGCCACAGCCACCATTCCTGAACTGATATCACCACAAACTGACTGCTACAAAACCCTCTCAGAGCAATTCTTGCAGCTCTCGAGAGTCCTACCCGTAACATAAACCCATGAATGTTCCCCACCTCCAAGCCCTCTAACTCTCCTTGCTGCTCCACCCTGGGGGATGAAGGCCAGCCCCACCAAGAGCAGCCAAGGATGGGCTCAGAAATGATGCTGCACCTCGTCCTGCAAGGGGCTGAGTGGCTCTCACAAGGGCACAGAAATGGATTCAGGAGACAAAAAGCACTTTGCAGTAATAACTTGGCAGCTGGTAAGGCCAGGGTGCTCCTGTGATTATTTCTCCATAATTGATGTATTACCTCTGTGACCCAGAGAGAAACAAGACTATGGACTGTGCTCCCTGAGCATAAAGCAACCAATTTATACGAGATGGGTTTGGGAAAGGAGCTGCTTGGCCTCTGGAAAACCCCATTCCAAGGGTTCATCATACTTGGCCTTCATGTTAAACAAGAATTTAGACACTGAAAAATAGGTTGGCTGCATATCTTGGTGCCCCAATGGAGAGATATTCCTGAAAAAAGGCCTGCTTCAGCTGTATTGATTTGAAAAAGGGAAAATAGAGAGGTCAAAACATACTCAGCATAATTATGCAGAAAACAGCAGACAAAAAATAAGCTGCTCAATTAATTAAGAGGAGATAAATTCTGAAGTCCCCCATGACAGACTAAGCACAGCTGAGAAGAATTTCTGACAAAAAGTTGGAGTAGGAATGAAACTACAAAATCTCAGCAAACAGCCACTGTATGAGCTTAGTTCACAGTTCTCCCAAAATGGAGGCAAAGGAAAAACACTCTATACTATATAAACAAAATATATATCCCTTGTATTTAAAAATAGATAAAATACTTCTTAAAACTATCCCATCAGTATTATCTGCAAGTTTTTACTTCCTTTCTTAATGAAGAAAGTGGGAAAACAAATATAAAACATCACTTTGTTTTTTCAAGATAACAGAATCTTGAGAAAAAAAAAAGTGAGACAGATTTTGAAATGTCTGTCATGAGAGAACAGCCATGTTTCAGTAGCTGTTTTTAAACTCAAATTGCAAAACTGGTCTGTAAAGTAAGGCTGTCTTGTGTGTCTGAACACACAAATGCTGCCTGTACAAGATGGATTTCCCTATCAGAAATCATTGTGTTTGTCAGAGTATATTTAGTTGATGTGTAGCCTAAATGTCATGAGGTTCTCACAGGCCCACCTCTCATTTTCACTGCTTGCCATAAATATAAGCAGGAGATGGGAAGTTATTCTGATGCTACCATGAATTAAAGCCAATAATACTGGTAAATCAGAATACAAACCATAAATAAACTACACATGCATATTATAAAATTAGCTCTCAAGAGCTCAGAAAACAGAAAAAAAAAAAAAAAAAAAAAAAGGAAACCCTTTTAGCTGCACTCTGCAGCTGTAGCTGAGTGTGCCCTGGTGTCACTCCCTGTGTGAGGTCAGCCTCCACCCTGTGATTCCAACAATTCAGGAGCAAACAAGCTTTATGCCCCAGTGATGTGCTTAACCCAGCACAGGAATCAGTGTGACAGGCAGAAGTCTGCTCTGACCCCTTGCAGAACGGTCAGAGATTCTCCTTCACATCCCACTCAACGTGTCCTTGAACCAAAGAAAATATTTCTGAAAGCGACCCAAAATTATGCAGTGTTTCCAAAAGACTCAAAAATGCAAGCAAGGCAGCAGAAGTTTGAAAGTGGAGGGAAATGAACACAGAAACCATCAGATATCAGTTCACAGCTTGTCTGCAAGCTGGGGGATGTGGCTGGAACCCTGGAATGGAGCAGAGGTGTGAGAACACCTGGAGGGCCAGGGCAGGATTGCCACCCAGCCCCAGCACTCCCCACAAACACCAGCCTCTGGCTCAGCTCCTCTTCTAACACCATGGATAACTGGCCCACCTGGCAGCAGCTGTGCTGAAGGAGAATTAATTATTTTTCATGGGATGGTTTGAGCTCCTGGGATGTGAACCACTGGGGAAGATGATGTTAACATTATTGAGCCTTTAAGTAAAGCTCTAACTCTGTCCCAGTGAGCAACGACACCTCTAGTGCTCTGAGACATGATTCAGAACAGCTTCACACAGAAGTCTCTTACATTTTCAAAAAAGAAAGAGTGAACATTTCATTTTATTTAAAGCAGGTATGTAGTAGTCAACTATTTTTTAGCATACATTGAGCTTTTTCCTGGCAATGAGGCAAAATTCATAATGCAAAAGTGGAGACAACACTGAGACTAGTCACAGCCAGTGACAGGATTAAACTATTTTGTCTGTTCTGCAATCTGCAGAATAATTTTCAGTAACAAAGAAACAAGTAAAATGATATTACTGTATGCACAAAAAGATAGCATGAAAATAATTACTATAGGAAAATAAAATTATCAAGCTCTTGCACATAGTGAGAGGGACTGAAGAGGTAAACCTGAAGTTATTAATGCATAACTTTGCTTCAATTTAAACACAGACTAGTATAGTTAAACTGGGTATTAACTTAATGATCACACTTCATCCTCAGTGTGCCGGCCAGAAATAGAACAGTAGCCAGCTGTGTTTAAAAGCAACAAAAACCCAAATTGCCTATTAAGTCAATAAGTGCAAAGAAAACGTTAAAAGAAGCTTGAATTCACACTGAGAAATGGGAGAACACCTCACACCTGGTGTCAGTAGTTTCAGAGCAACTGGGAAGGGATGCTGTGATTAATCACCAGGGAAGGTCCTGCTGCTGTCACTGGTGCCACGCTGGTGGTGGCCCCGAGGCCACCAGCTCTGCAGCCATTAGTGCTTTAATTGTCACTTGGTGTCAGAACCCAGGACATTCCTCTGACTGCCCTGGAGGACTCGAGACCCTGGCAGGGGGCTCAGAGACTTTGGCACAGAGTCAAAAACACCTGTGCCTTTGGTTTTAACCCATGGGAAAAATTACCAGCTGTGTATGAAGATGTACAAGCCACGAGAGTTTAAGCAGAATGATAGTTAATTTGTCACAGGGTGAAAAAAGTAGAATTTTGGGGTTTTTAGAATGGGGGTTCAGGAGGCAAGATGGAGGGATTTGGGCATTCCCTGTCCTTCTTCTCCTTCTCTTTCTTAGCCTCCACCTTCTGTGTGATGGTGGCACTTTTAGATTGGTTTAGAGTAGAGACAGACTGTCTAATGTAGGTGATAGGCAATGGAAAATTATTGTAAATAAAGTACACATAGTTTTTAGTATAAAAAGATAACACAGCCCCAAGGGCAGGCAGTGTGCCATGAACTGACCTGCCAGACTGACCTCAGCAGGTCAGAAAAAGAATGTTATAGAAAAGAGAAAATAAACAACCTTGAAAAGCAGAACCCACACATCTCGGCTTCTTCTTCAGTCGTGGGACTGGGAAAAAAACTCTTTAATACCTCAGGAGCCATTTCAGCAACATAAAACCCAAGAATTTGGGGTTGTTATTGTCACTGTAAACCAGAGAAGGTGAGGCCTGGCAGTGACACACAGGGTCCCAAATCTCTGCTGTGGAACCAAAGGATGTCATTGTCACTGCTGAGCTCAGGAACAGCTCAGGACCTGCAGCCGAGCAGGAACACACAGGGAGGAGCTGCAAGTGTGGGATCCACAGCAAGGACAGGGTCTGCTCCACCAGGGCCCTTGGATCCTCTTTGTATGGCTCTGCTGCTCCTGGAACCCAGCCACACCTTCCAGAGCCACCTCAGTGCCTCAGCAGGAGGAGAGCTCCAGCACAGGGAAGGGACAATGGCCAGCTCTCCACCACTGCTCTTCATCCTTGCCATGGGTGAGCCATCCTAAATGAGACTGCTCAACCCAGGGCTGCTGGAGCTCCTCAGGATGGTGGCACACACCAGCTGAGACTTCTCTCATGTGGAAACCACCCGCAGCAAACCTGCTCTTCAGCCCACCCAATAATGGTGCTCCAGTTGAAAATTATTTTAAGTCATTATTTTAAGTCATTGCTCTGGACTGGACTTAAATTGAGCAATTTGAGGCCTACTTCTACTCCCTTAAATTGTCGAATAATAAGCTAATCCTTGGTAAGAAAAGGTTAATGGATAAGTTTTGCTTCAAATCTGGGTCAGAACTTTTGGGGCTTTTTCAAAGAATTCAGTGAAATTCTCAAGCTAATCCTGTTTCACTGAAGTATATTAAGTGCTAATAGAGCAGAGTGCAGCAAGTAAACTCTTAATGCTACTTCACATATGAAAATCAAGACTCTCAAGACCACTATTAGTTGATGAGACAAAGCAGAAGTAAGCAGGAGGCACAGGTCAGAAATGGATGAAGAGAGAACCAGCTGGTGCCACTTAAAAACAGCATGCTTGGTGGAAATTGAAATAGTTGCATAATGCAGAAAAATTAATTTGTTTTACTTTAAAATATTCCAGATGAAAATATGCTCATGTGAAAAGAATCAGATTATTCCTGTACTTGGTCACTATCATGTCATGAATGGAGGCTAGCCTAGCAGCCAGCCCTTTTACTATACCTTCTGTTGATGCCTCAGAGTTGATTTTTTTTCTATTTGATTTAATCCTTCTGGTGCAGGATGCAGTGGCCAATAACTAACCTGTACAGGAAAAACTGCATTTAATCCCTTATTTCTAATCTAGCCTGCTGCAGCATTCTATTACTGTGAATCCTAACAATTACTAAATT